GCTGTTTTCAATTACCAATATTTCTAAGACACCTTTTTGTATCAGTACAGACAGACACAGAACTCTTTTCTGAAGTTTGTTTCATTATAAGGGTATACAATAATTTAAGTTCCCAACCCCTTTTATTAATGGACATTTTATTTATTTTCAACATTTCCTTATGCTTAACTGTTTTCTAGTTTCAAATATATTTGGAAAAGGTTGAAAATAAGCAAGTAAAAATGGCAATGGAGTAAACTTTTTTCTTCTTCAGATATAATACAACTAAATATCACTATGACTGGCATTAGGAAAATCTAATAACAAAAGCTGGGGGAAAAAACAAATAGCATTGCATCCTACCTGAAATACAGTATGTGGATAAATTCCTTTAGGTAGGAATATAATTCTTCTGTATTGATATTATACTGAACAACTTTGATAGGCTATAAAAAATTAAAATAACTTGTTAATTTATAATAAATATTTTCAAATTAAAACATGCTCATTCATCTTACCAATGTATTTTCTGAATCCATACATTTCATATGTTGTTGATCTTAATGATGCATCCCAATACCAAATACAAACTGATGTGTTAGTCTCTTCTGCTACAAGTGCTTTTATAAAAGCAAACATGCTCATAGTTGATTGTTAAATAAGGGAATACTGTCTGTATTAATGTGAAATTTGTATGAGTTCCTATTAGGCAAGGGGAACTGAATATATGATAACAGAGTTATTACCTTCATCAAGAAAAAGCAAGTCATAGCACAATTTACAATAGCTAAAATTTGGAAACGGCCTAAGTGCCCATTAGCAGATGAGTGGATTAAAAAACTGTGGTACATCTACACAATGGAATACTATGCTGGTGTAACAAGGAACTCCTACCATTTGCAATAGCATGGATGAACCTGGAGAGCATTATGCTAAGCAAAATAAGTCAGTCAGAGAAAGATAAATATCACATGATCTCACTCATTTGTGGAATATAATGAACAACATAAACTGATGAACAAAAACAGATCCAGAGATAGAAAAGCATTGATTAGACCATCAATCCTCAGAGGATAGGCAGGGGAGGGTGGGGATAAGGGGGAGAGATCAACCAAAGAACTTGTATGCATGCATGTAAGCCTAACCAATGGACACAGACACCAGGGTGGGTGAGGGCATGAGCAGGGGTGGGGGTGGGCAATGAGGTGATAAGGACACATATGTAATACCTTAGTCAATAAGGAAAAGAAAGAAAGAAAGAAAGAAAAAGCAAGTCATTAGCCAAGTGGCCACACAGGTAGGTACTCTTTCAGATCTACGTTTTAAAAGTTTTATATGAGTCTGTCAGGGGTGGGCAACCTTTTTGTGAGTGCGTGCCAAAACCAGAAAAATCTCTGACTCAAAATTCTTCTACGTGCCAACCCTAATTTTTTGAGAACATGTTACGCCTACATGATATCTCTTAAGGTGTACATATGTGAAGAACCTTGAAGAAATAAAAAAATTCATTCGCGCGACAAAAACACAGTACATGATGATGAAAAAAACATTTATTTTTTAATGTATACATGTACACTGATAGTCTGACAGAAAACTTTATGACTCCGTTTGATATTATCAGTGGGACTTTTGCTGATGCATCACTGATGACAGAGATTTTACATCAGGTTTATATTTCCTGACCTTTAGAGACATGCATGAG